TTTGGCTCATTCTTGTGATTCTTAATTGCCGAGAGTACGGGTCTAAAGATGACACAGTATTGATGAGGCTGTGATGGCCGCCACTGCAGCTGTACTACTTACCTGAATACTGCATACTCCTCCACAATGCCTCTGTAAGCTGCCTTACTGTTGCAACGGAGAAATACTTCACAGGCTAACTAAAAATACAATAAATAAAAGAAATAAATAAATAGGATTTTGGTTGCTGCTATTACTTGTAGTAAGTTTGAATTCAACGGGTGGTTGATCATCATTTGGTAAGTGACACGGATTACCTCTTCTTCTTTAACATCAGCTAATTCTGGATTATCTAGAAAGAGAGAGAGAGGGGGAGGGAGGAGAGAGTGACAGAATTTCAGGTTAGGTAATCAGTTATTGTAATGGCAGCTTATGTAAAGTGCAACACAACCAAACAGCAGAAGCTTTCAGTGTTTAATGAAAAGACATAAAACAGTGATAGTGTGAGACAGTTGAGAGATTACTCCTCCATTGTCTGCACTACACAACTACAAGCTAGTCTACAAGACCATTCCAATAGTATCTCATTCCCGCACACAGTCCTCGGGTGTCTCCATAATTTACCATCGTCCAGAGCCTGTGCTAGCTTCCCACAAGCATAAACGAGCATTTCTTCAGCTTTAGAGGTCTTCATGGCATTAATGAATTCCGCAGGCGACTACAAGCCAATAAAATATAAAAAAAAAACAAGACAATAACTTAGTCTTTACCGCCAGGACCTCGTCTTGTTCCTTTAGCGGCTGCATGCCCCGAGAGCTAGCAACACTAGCATTGAGGTTACTGGTCGAAGAGAAGTGGGGACGGAACAAAGCTGGTCGGGAGAAGGCGGAGGCCTCCATGGAGTGTCTCCTTCGACCTGCTCCAGCAGACATCTTGTACTATCTAGTTATCAAAAGTTAATTAACTCGTGCCTTCACTTCTGCGCGTGCTCAGAAAATCGCGGGAAATTTTGAAAATTTAAAAATATTTAGAGTGAATGTAATAAGAAGAGAAGTAATAAATAAGAATTAAGAATTATTGAGTTCCAGTAAAAATTAGAATAATTTATTTACTATTTATTATCTTTATTATTATTATTTATAATTTTCCTAGTGATGAGCGAACTACAAATTGAGCAATAATAATTATTAAATAATAAATTAAATTTTTATCAATTATATTCTAAAACTTTTTTGTGGTAAAAGAGCAAGTACCTGCAAATAAAGAGAAAGAGAGTGTAATAAAAAGAGGGAGGAGCATGAGGAGCTACTTACCCTTCGCTT